TAAGTCTTCTCCTGTATTTATGAATTTTAAGACGCAGTGATAACTTGCTAACTTGTTTAAGGTCTCCAAGACTTTCCAGATCAACAGAAACCCTACAGAGCTCTTCGTAAATTCAAACGATCATCTATGTAAATTGTCACAAAGCACATAATTTTTCCATTCTAAACATTCTCCCGTTATGCAAATGGTTGTTTGTAAATTTAAAGATTTCGCTCCGCTGTACTAGAAGATATTTAACTTGCCCTATATATAAAGTCAGGTCGTAATTGATTAATTGCTAATTTTAACCATTCAGTCAAGAAATGTATGTCGCATTTATCATAATATTTATACAATTAATGTGTAGAGACATTAGGTTATTTTTAAAGCAAGACTGATGAAAAATGAGCAACGTCTTCTCCGGGAATCGAACCACGGTCCTCAGAAATACGCGCCCATCATGCAGACCGGCACCGAGAAGGCACGCTAAGAAGGTGGGAGAAATACCTTATATACTTCCCCTTTTAAAGGAAACCCAAATTAGGGGACCCAATTAATTTTTTTTTAATTAGGGGACCCAATCTCCAAATCCTGGGGTGTGGAGAATCATCATCCTTTTTAGTTCGGGCGCCAGTGTAGAGACATTAGGATTTTTAATAGCAATAGACTTGAAAACGAGCAACGCCATCGCCGGAAATCGAACAACGTACTTCTGGAATACGCGCCCAACCATGCAGACCATTATACCACGAAGACACGCTAAGAAGAGGAGAGAAATACCTTATAAATATTCAAGTCTCTATGTAAAATAGTATTATTTTCTTACCGGAAAACGAATGCTATTCTTTTAACAAATTTTGGTCCGGTACTTTAGCTTCAGTGTAGGAATTGCATACAAAATAGCTTATCCGAAATTATCGAGAGATGTAGCTTTTCCTATTGAAGTTTATTCATGAAGCAGATAAAATAATTGGAGTGGTATCCAATTTGCATATATGAGCTTTTTTAATAATACCGAGTATTAAAAGAAGATTTCTTTAAATACTGATCCTATATATGTATTTCTGATAAATGAAAATTCTCAAAATGGAATAAAATTTTAAGGAGTTTTAAAAAGAATAAGAACATTTTGCAAATATAAAATATAAATTTTTATACAATCATTATTAAGCAAAAATTTAAATAGTAAAATACTCGTTACGCTTCAGTGATTTAAAAAGTATTTCACACTTTTAGGTGGAAAATCCATAGATTACAAAATCATGGAGCATAATGTACATTTAATCACTATTTTATTTAATGCGGAACTAATTCTCTCTCTCTCTCGAAATCAGTTGAACTTGACTTAAATACTATTCTCTTCTTCATTTGCATTCAACGCAATTCAAAAAACGTATTCTGGTAGGGAGCTGTAAGTTGAAGCGAGATAAGGCAGGAAAAGTTCACTAAATTAAAATCACTGTTATGAAATAAAAATGTACCTTACAGGGCAGCAACAAATAGCAGTTCAAATAAATAAACTTTGCACATACTGTCTAACACAATAATCAAAACCTGTAAGTATATTGCAGATTATTTTATCCACTTGTAGCTGTGAGCTTTATAACTACATCAGATCTGTAACCGAGCTTATCTGTAGCTGTATCAGCATTGAAGCCAAATTTAATACTTGACAGTTTCGCTAAAATACCATTTATTAGCGCAAGGCGAGTTAGCCACTAGCTAGGAAGTGGGATAGCTCTTGCCACAAATATTCAGATTTCAAATATTGATACCCAAGATATTTTAGTTAGCGGTGATCTATTTCCTGAGTCTATGGAGATGAAATAGAATACAACTATGTTCACCACTCACGCATACATAGGTTATAAATTCGAAGCTGAACTTATCTACAATGTCTAAAAGCAAATAATAATATTTTAGCCGATTGTTATTTTCTATGATTTACCACTAATGTTTTACACATGAAAAGCCAAAATGATTAAGATTGCTAATCCCTTCCCCAAGCAACAGCAAAAACGTAAGAGATAAAAAAGTATCCGAAAAATGAGAAAGCCAATGTTAATTTTGAAAATGACGATAACATATCGGAAATAAAAATATAAAGTATTACTTGATCTGATACTGGATCTTTAGTTCTGAAGCCTTGCTAGACAAATAGTGAGTCTTCGCTATGTCTGAAAATAGGTTGACTGATACTTGCAAGTTTAAACAACAACTTTTTTTATTAAATTGAACGTTTAACAAAACAAAGTACAACTCATGTTATGTTACAGATAACCACTACCTGTAGCAAAGCAAATTAAATAAAAACAGTCAAATCAATTTAAAGGCTGATCAGTAATCTAAGACTAAACAGTTAAATAACTAAGTTACAAGCTGGCTCAAATAATTTACTGATGCGTAAGTTCAATCGGCTGAGAGAGTGTGTCCGGCGAAAACATCGAGGCAAAAACATCGTGGGAGGAAAGAAAACAAAGAGAAAACATTGCAGTTCTAAAACATTATGGTACAAAATATCGTCATTGGAAATAAAATGGTTCAAAACTTCGCAGTTTAATCGTCGTCGAAAATATGGTGATAAAAAATAAAGTACCTACAAATCATTGCATGACGATAACATCGCAAACATGCATTTTTCAGGTTTTAAAAGATGTAAATGCATTTTCGCATAGATTTGGGAGCGCAAGAAGGAAAGAGAGATATGTTTACTTTTATATTTCATATTTTTTGAATGAACTAATAAACTTTTGCTGAAAAAGTAAGAAGGAAACTTAAGCATTTAAAAATTGAAAATGAGTAGAAAATTAATGCAACTTATAGCACTTAATAGAATTTTAAATTTACATAGTTAATTAACAAAGGTCATTAATAAATTCATCTTTTTATAAAGTTTTACTCATAATTTTTCATGAAAAATAGAGCCTAAAGATGTTTAGAAAAAGGAAGCTATATAACTGCATGAGGTTACCTCTATAAAAATTGCTTAGTTAATTATCAAATTGCTCTCTTCGACGTTTGTTAGTTTGTTAATGTGATATTATTTTGGAGAAAATTGCATCTTGTTTTGTTATTTATTCTTAGAGTATAGTTAACATTTCTTGCACTTCCAAATTTCTATACGAATATGCATTTACAACTTTTAAACCCTGAAAAAAACGCATGTGTGCGATGTTATCGTCATGCGATGATTTTTAGGTTTTTTTTTTTTTTTTTTTTTTTTTTTTTTTTTTTTTTTTTTTTTTTTTAACCACGATGTTTTCGACGACGATATTTTTAAACTGCAAAGTTTTTGAACTGTTTTGTTTTTGACGACGATATTTTATACCACCATATTTTAGAACTCCGAGATTTTCTCTTTGCTTTATTTTTTCTCCCACGATGTTTTGTACCACGACGTTTTCGCCTTACGTTGTTTTTCCCGCGACGTTTTCGTCTGCGATGATTTCGGCTTGTAACACTGAGAGATAGCGATTATCAAGAAGTCGAGAAAAATACAGTTAGCTGGAGTTAGCAAAACTCTAACAACGCTATACGAGTGCCGGAAACTCCCACTCTCGTTCTAAGATCCAAACCCTTAGCTTAAAGGGACTACAAGGTATTACTACCTTAGGCTGACAATGCATTGATACGATAAAGAGCACAGTTTTCTTGTTTCCTTATAATAACTGGTTAGTTTAACGTAAGAAACTTACATGCTCCTTGCCTGCAACAGAAAATCACATAAGTTATATTCAGTATTAAGTTTACAACAAATCAAAACATTTTTCAGTCATCTGTATTATTAATAAAAGGTATTACTACCCTATGTTGACAGCGCATTGATACGATAAAACGTACAGTTTTCTTGTTTCCAAACTCATCTGATCTCCATAACTCTATCGATACAGTGTATGCCATTCAAACATAATCAAACACTTAATTCAGACAGGAATATCAAGCTTCTCTTGGTAAAAATATATTTACGGGTGCCCCTTGGCCAAAGTTGGCGATACATGGATACCGAGTTTGTGTAGTTCTTTAACTTGTTATTTTGACTTTGTGTAGCGGCGATTTTGGGGGCGAAAATCGACGCTACATAGAGACAAAATGACAAGTCAGAGAATTGCACAAACTCGGTATCCATGTAAACATCGGCCTATTTTCACTTAAAACATCAGAAAATTGCACAAACTTCGCATTGCGCACTCCTTTGACTTTGTCCATGTAAACATCGATTTATTTTCACTTAAAAAGTCAAAGGAGCACCCAATTCTACAATAGAGCCAAGCAAAAAATACATAATCTCAATAAACTACATTTTAAATCAAACAATAAAATAACATAAAAAAGGAAATTTATCTTATGCTCTTAAGCACTAACACAAAACAAATATCCACTTACCCTTATTTAGAAATTTGTACGTCTTCAGTCTGTGGTACACAAAATTCCTTAATAGCATCCAAAAACTTCCTAAAATTATTTGAACTAGAATCCGTATATCGGCGTCGCCACATAAATACAAAATAAGAGTCAAACATATCCTCCGTAGTGTCGATATCCTCCGACGTTCAACCATGAGCATTTCCTTCCTACAAACAGGACATTTATAATGGCTACTAAGTAAACCTTCATTTAAACACTAGTCAATTAATGTGCTCTTTTCTCCTTTCGTTCCAAATCGTACAGAAACTTCAAATTAATCTTATCACATTCAGCCATTCCGTCTAAACCACAAAAGAAGAAATGTACTTCCTAACCAACACACACCACAAGCCCTTACAAATCTTTCCCATCATTCAAAATTTACCGCATCCACACAACTGATTATGTCATAATAGGGTTTCCATAACATTCAACTACTCAGGTTACCATAAATGAAACAGCAACCTGGCAATAAATGAAGCAACAACTTGGCGATAATACAAGGAGCACCCTTCAATCTACTCTAACCTTTCTATTTTATTTGAATTAGTTATTTTATTATTTAGAATAAAAACCTTTTTTAATTATCCAATAATTATTCTATTTCTTAATTTCAGCGCTTTCAACGACTTCGTGCTCTGTAAGCTTATTCATGTCAGCCGAGATTGTGGACAAGAGGCAGCTGACTATCTACAACAACATTTGGATCGCATATCCAGTCCGTTGATCCATGAACATTGTGCCCACTACACCTATGCTGAGAATTCTTGTTCAACGTCAACTTCTCACTCAACCCCTACCTCTTTCACTTCTCCTTTGACACTAATGACCATTGCTGTTGGGTGCTTATTTGAACACTGGATGATTCCGCACTGAAAGACTTCTTGCAAGTTCTAATATTTAAGATATACATTAATTTAAGAAACTGTTCTGCACAGACCCGAATCGTGGTAAATAGGATTTGCCAGTCTTTTGAAAATGTCTTCTCTTCAATGAGGAAACACACCATGTGTTGCACATTGTCGCGCTAAGACGAATAGTTTTATCGGGTACATCTTCTTAAAGTATGCTACTGCTCAAAATGTAAGCAACAAAACGATCGAATTTCGGGAATAAATTTGTCAACTATACCGAAAACAGAAAAATATTAAGTAAAAGGAAAATGCTCGGATTGTAGAATTTTTATTCTGATAGGCTAAATGAAATGAAATATTCGAACATTATGCTTTCTAAATAGACGACAGTGAACAGAATACCAAGTTTCATGACGACTGCCCTTGTGTACCAATACTTTAATCACATTTTATAGTAGTATTTCCCATTTTTAAAAAACTCTTATCGAAACTTCAGAAAAATATGTAGCGAGAGATTGTGACTTGAAGTCATTTTCCTAATATTTCTGATACAATTTTTATCTTATATATATAAAAGTCACTTAAGATCTTTGTTGTGCGGTACCCGGCACCAAGTTTTCTCTTATTAAAGTAGTCGAAAATCATTCTAGAGATTAAATTGGGATTATTCAATAAAAATGAAACTACCTACATTGATTTGCGATCCATATCAAAAGCATCAATAATCATTCTGGAGATTATATTGTGACTTGTTAGTAAAAAAGGAATTAATGCCATTGATATAAGTTTCATTTTTGAGAACGGGTAATAGGCATAAACACTTGGCCTACCTGCTACAATGCTTTCTTGTAAAGGCTACGAGACATGGATAGCGCTTATTTTGTTTTCAACGGATACTTGCAGCTTAATGCATTCATCGTGAGTGGCGAATATCAATCGGTCATTTAGCTTTCTCATCTCCGCAAAGGTTGCCAGGATGCACCACAAGACGACTGTCTCCTCTTTCCCTTCCACCAAACCTCTCGAGAGCTTCCCTTACTATCCCTCTTCTCCTACCACACAATATCCGCCTCTGTTTGATCAGTATTTTATTATTTAGTACATTATGCACTTACGAACATCTGAGCTTTCTCTGGGATTCGAGCCCATCCTCAATGATACAGCAGACAGTAGCGCTAACCACTATGCCGATCAAAGCGGATAGACACTGATAGTTGACATACCAGTCTTCCTGAAGGAGACGAAAATTTAAGAGTCATTTGTCAGCCTGTCTGTAAATTACGATGTCTTTTAAGTCGGAAAGCCATTGTGTAAGATTTCATCGCCCTTTGTGGTGCGGATCCGTGTCTTCTGAAAGTGAATTGAATCTTCTGACAGCGATTTCAAATCTGCGTATGAAATTACGCTGGTCATTGCCTTGTTTTACCATATCTGCTAGCTTCCAACCACTTCTAAATTTCCTGCAACCCTCTATCACATTTCATAATACAAATGGCTACCTTCCATTTTTCTGATATTCACATTTCGCGACTTTAAGGGGAAATCAATTTCTAAATACGCTTCGCTTGGCTTCGACTACGGAAATATTTATTCAAATCATTGCATATTTGAAATCACTATTGCATTTTAAATTACTATGAAAGCTTAAAATCTGAATATTAAATCTGAACTAGCAATTTTTCATTTGTTGCTGGTTTTTGAGCAGTAAGTATTCTAAAAATAATTATTTGAAGATGAAGAAAGTCTAAAAACGCCTGAAGTCAATGAAGAATGCGACATAAACAAACAGTTGACTCAACACAATTTTCTAATACTGGAGAAATGTTAACACAGCAAGCATCTTATAAATCTGAAACAACCTGAAATCTGAAACAACCTGAAAGCTCAACCTGAAATTTTGAGCTTTCTAAATTTTAAATATCTGGAGGGGGGAAAAACATGAAGTAGTGCAAAGTAGCATTCAATTAAAGATCCGATCATCAAATGCAAATTAAAAGATTATTTTATTCTACTACCTCAAAACCATGCATTTTAAAAACAGTAAGGTTAGTATTTTTATCAGATAAGAAGGACGAATGAGCATAAACATCCTTTTGAATTGATTACATGAGGGACTTCTGTAACATGCAATATATACTTCCAGCAAAGATTTACAAATATTAAAATAACAAATATTATACGAAATTAACAACTAAATAATTTATTATATTAATTTTTATCTTATAAAATTTCCTGATAAATAATCAAAAATTAACTTCGATATTCTTTAATATAAAATTAAAAATTTTGCCGTTTATTCAGAGCAAGTTAATGTATAAAAATATTGTAGTTGCTAAAGTAAAGATATAATAAATGTGAGATCTTTGCTAGGCATGAAATCTAAATATTGTGCTGCAGAGTTATGAGGTTTTTCTTGATGTCAGGAAACATGAAAAATGTGCAATGCTGTCGCCGCGACTCAAACACTGGACCTTTCGTATACGCGTCGAGTATGCGTCCATTTCTGAAGGCATACGGAAAGGAGGGAGAAAATACCTTAGAGTGCAATTATGATTGCACGATTATGTTTTGGATTTTGAAATGAGAAATTATCAACTCGTTATATGTGCAATAGATTAATACAAATATTCTAAAGAGAAATTGTCGCCTTTTTTATTTAATAAATTAAACAGATGAAATTATTATTATAGTATGTATCTCTTTTTTCACACTTTTTTAATAATATAATAGGCTTTGACTTTTACAGCGACTACAGATGTAATCTAAATGTCACCCTCCAAAAACACACATTGTTTTGTATGTTTCTTAAATTCGAATTATTTTCTTCATTAACTGAGTTGGTAAGGCACATTTATACTATCTTTTTTAATGCACTTTCATGATCTTTCAAGCTCTGTTGTCTATTAGTAATAGTAAATGAAAGACCGTTGTTGCAAATGGCCTGCATGATCTACGCTGAAGTCCCACGAGTATAGGAGACCATATATTGGCAAATTTGTTGTTATTCTTAAGGACATTTTTATAGGTAAGGACCTCAGAGTACTGCGGAAGGCCGGGAGTCCATGACTATTGTAAGATGATCCTGCCTACATCTCTAAGATTTCATCTTTAAAAAGCATTAGTGTGCTGAAAATCGAATCGAGAAATTACTCATTATTAACAAAGGCTAAGACGGACAAGGACAAATCTGAGAGTTCTTTCTATAAATTTATTCATCCTATAAGAAATGTGAAAGTCCTTAGAATTTTGAGCATAAATAAAATATGGCTTTTCACAAAATTTACTGACACGGATGTGTTTCGTGTATAATCAATGAAAACTTTCTGCATCTCGAACTCAAAATTTGTACAACTCACAATATTACTGTAGCTTTTGGACTTCCACAAAAAACATAATATGACTTTCTGAATTCTCTACATAAGTTTTTTAAGATTTTATTAACTCACGTTAACTTGAAATCATATTTATTTATTATTTCATACTTCATGTAATTTAAATATCATTGTTTATATGTCAAAAGATCAAGCTAATTATTATCTCCAAATACAAGGTTCATTTACCTCATTTTTAAGTTGCTATCATGATCTACCCGAAAATTGACACTGTGAAGGTTTTTCTTTAAGCTAAATTTTTGACAAGAAATTAATAATGTACATAATATGTAAATATGTAGATCTTTTTAAGACTAGAGAAACAATTAAAAGGAAAACTTGACCTTTTTTTTTTTTCATTTCACTGATTTACAAAGAAAAATATATAAATACATAACTAAATGAAATTGAAAAGCAGAATTTCGTAATATGATAACATTGTAAAATGAGTGGATCTCTGTTATTGTACACAAAATTATATATTCCTGTGTAGTCTTACAAAACGAACAGGTGATGTATGCACAAAACAAGCAATTAGAATTAGACACTTGTTTTGAAGAATAAAAGTGCCTGTTTTTTTCACTAGCGGTAATTCATGAAATATTTCTCCATTGTCTCCATTGAGAACGGGAATTGAAGGGAAAAAATTCTATAAAAAACATTTATCCATTCTTCGAAAAGAGTTATATTAATATAATCTTTAAAAGCGTTTAAAATCTATTCCTTCAAAGGTGAATTATAAGGATCAATTTGCGGGCTTTATAATTCCTAATGAATATGAAGTTCGAAATATTTGAAATATTTTTTGTTAATTATTCAGTCGCTTAGTAAGATGCTTGCACTTTTAAGATTACAATAGGTTACTTCTTACATTTTTTGTGTTACTCCCAGAAAATTTATTTCATGCATGACAATTAATGAGAAGTGTATCATAAATTTCGTGAATTATAATTTTCATAGCCTGTAAATAAATTTTTTTTTATTCTATGTGCATCTGTTATTGATTGAAATACATTGCCATGGATTGCAAAATTCACGAAAGGAATTATAATTTCAAACATTAATTGCAAATTTATATTATTGGCAAAACATAAAATATCGGACAATAAAATTCTTATATGAATAATGTATATAAACATACACTTATAAACTTCTTCGTAATTCCCTTAAACAGTGTAAAAGTCATCATATGAAGTAAATTACGAATTTATAACTGCATTTGAAAAGTTTTTAGTTTTTTAAATTTTAGTCATTATGCATATTTGAAAGAAACATTAATTAGGTGAAATTTATTGTCTACAAAAAAGTATTTCAGTATCTAATATATATACTGCTCGCCACCGTAAATGCAACACCCTGAAGGAAGCATGCAAATAACATGAAATTTAAAACATGCATTAGCGGAGGTGAGGTATGCAAATGATTAGAATTTCAGCGCAGACGCGCCTGTGTCCCCACTTCAAAGTGCTATTTAAGGCTTGAGTTTTCGACGATTTCAAGTTATGAAATTGCGTTTTTCTTGTAGTTTTTCCAAAAAATCGATCAATTATGCCTCGCAGTAAACAGCGATCATCGTTTGATCAAGTATCCGAGTTCGACAGAGGAAGGATAGTGGCCTAAAGAGAGTGTGGATTATCTTTCAAGGAAATCGATAGTCGTGTTGGACGGAACCAAACAACTGTAATGCAGATATGTGACCGTTGGATGCAGGAGGGTAAGACGGACCGACATGTTCGATCGCATCCACCTCAGTGCATCACTTCAAGTGATCACAGGAATATTGTGTGCATGGCAGTGACGGATCGCTCAGTCACATCACAAACCTTAGCACAGCACATTCAGTCTGTAACGCATCATCCAGTGTCTGCGCGTACCATTCGACGCTGTTTACAGCAGAGTGGTCTGTCCCCAAGACGTCTATTGCTTCGTCTACCCTTGACGCAGAACCACAGACGTCTCCGCCGCCAATGGTGCGATGAAAGAATGATGTGGACTGCAGAATGGAATGAAATTGTCTTTAATGACGAGTCACGCTTCTGTCTGCAATACCGCGATGGTCGGATTCGAGTCTGGAGACACCGTGGAGAGAGGATGCTGAACAGCTGCGTTATGCACCACCACACTGGTCCTGCACCGGGTATTACACTGGGGCGGTATTGAATATCACTTTCGCACTCTTCTAGTATGCATTGCCGGTACTTTAAATAGCCAGCGCTACATCTCCGAGGTGTTGGAGCCAGTTGTCCTTCCTTATCTTCAGAGCTTGCCCTCAGCCATATTTCAACAGGATAATGCTCGACCACACGTGGCACGCATTGTCCAAGAGTTCTTCGTCAATCGCCAGATTGAATTGCTTCCCTGGCCGGCTCGCTCTCCGAATCTTTCGCCGATAGAAAACATGTGTCCCATGGTTGCTGAACGATTGACCCAGATTACATGCCAAGCTGCCACACTAGATCAACTCGGGAAACGTGTGGAAGCTGTTTGGTCTACTGTACCCCAAGAACACATCCAAAGTTTCTTTGAATCGATGCCGAGGAGTGTGGCAGCGGTGATCTCCAACAATGGTCGCTACTCTGGCTACTGATTCTGGAAGGAACCACACTTCACAGAAGTCTATAAATTTAATCATTTGATACTTAGTCAACATGTTATCTACTAAATAAATTTTGTTGTGATATTCCTTGTCTTTCTTGGTGTTGCAATTTGGGTGGCCAGCAGTGTATGTATAGTAAAACCTACCTAAATCTCAAAATTATAATATAAACTATCAAAGTTCCTTAATTCCCCCTTTCTGTTCTAAATATAGTAATAATTTTGTGGTACTGCGTCATTTCTAGATCAATCTATGTCACATGGCTTGCATAACGCTGACTACGTAGCTAAGTCAGAACCTGAACTAAAAATTTCGAGAATTGAAACCTTTCTCTAAATAAGCAACTGAACAGCTGCGCACTTAAGCTTCTATCTTTCTTAAAACATAATTTCTTTGTGCCCTCCTGTTATCGCTATAGTATCAAAAATAGATATGAATAGAGTGCCAAGTAAATTGTGTCCGCAAATATCAATTGAAATAAAAAATGAATATTTAATCTTACTCGGCTTCCAAGTATCCTTTTCAATATGGATCTACATTCTACGCCATCAACATTGCTGCGTCCTTTGCATCACAATATTGCTACATCTTTTTCATCACATGTACACATCTATCTCGTACAAACACAATCTTTTCAAAAGTTATTTTTAGGACGGGTAATTTTTAATTCCGAGATACTTTTATTTCAGTATTGCACCCTTTCGCAATTTCTTCATTTCTTTTAATACTGTTTGTTGCGTTCTACGTTTCGCGAATTTGGGGGTGATTGATGACAGCACCTGATGAAAAATCAAAACACAATTTATTCGTCAGTATTACACAGGACAGTACCACGGACGTGTTACAATCCTCGAAAAACTACGACAAACACGCTGAAACAATAAACAACTCTGCCTTCAGGCTATCAAGCTATAGCGGTGAAGACAGCTTCACGACAAAGCACTAAAGTACAGCTCCCCACTCGGTCGATCGCTCTCGAGCTAACCTCTGAACTCAAAACACTGCTACTGAACTCAACATACTCTCAAGATATTCTCCACTATAAAACTCTAGACACTCTGCTACTTCACGTACAAGCAAGATTTATATAGCTTTTGACCTGCCTTCGAGCAGATTCTGGAGAAAACCGCTAAGAATTCGTTTTAGAATGCTCTCGCTCCGTCCATGGTATACTGCTTATTTTGTCGCCAGATGGGCGTCGAGACAAATTTCGCAACCCTGTTTATGCTTGCTACTTTCTGGCAACCCTGAATCCGCTTGCGGGGAAGCTATCTTGCCGCAGCTGGGCATTTCGCAACAATATATTATTTATCATCGGGGCCAACAAGTGGCGAAAGGGTTGTACACCTGTTATACTTCTCTGTCCCACTTCAAGCTTCCCTAATGAGGCTCTTTTAAAAATTGTTTCATTTCAGCACCTCTCGATACAGTAGGTAAGAAGAGTTCCCATTTCAGTCGTTTAATTCAAGGTCAACGCTGAAACTGAAAATTTTATCGAAGTGTTTGTAAAAAAGAAATTTTGTTACAATAAAGCCTCTGAAATTTCGTATTCAGGTGGCTATGTTTAAATGCAAGATCAGTGTGACATGATGGTAATGTCTAATACAATAAAAATAAAAAACTCTTTATTTCATTAGAAATCATTGTTGTTGTTATCCAAAAGCATGGGCTCATCAATTTCTAAGATATTTCGAGAATTCTGCACCATAAATTAAAT